TTGGGGTTTAGGGTTTAGGTATCAGCAGAAGACTCTGGGGCTGTCTATCATGTAAGGTTTGCGCTAGGATCCTCGGGGTTCGGGGCGGTTTAGGTTCTGCTCAGGGTTTAGGTCTTACAAGACCATCACAATATGTTTCTGGAATTTCCACTTTTCCGCTGAGATGAACCTCAAGGACCCAAACTTACTGTAGGACTTGGGTTTACTGTTTAGGGTTTAGGTGTTAAGGCTTAGAGTAGACTACGAATCATGCGGGAATCGAAGCCATTGAAGGTAGTGCTGAAAAACATCTTGCTGGCACCAATTAGCGGCAGTGACCATGGTGGTGATGGCCGGATGGTAGGAAAAGAGGGCGTCTGCGAATAGACAGACGCGCAGATGCAAGGCAGGCGACAAACAATGACCGCTTGTTCTGTTTAAGGGTTAGCCGCACAGAGCCAGAAGCGGACAGCCCTGCAGACTCTGCAGGTGCAGGTGGGGTTTGCCAATTTACCGAACAGTGTGGAAATCATCTGGGTGCGAGGGTTCAGGCCACTGGGAGGGTCAGGGGCACTTAGTAAGTATGCTGGTAACCCCTCTCAGCCATCTTCAAACCCTACCCATGCCTACTATCAACCTACTTGCCAAATCCCCCTGCCCAAAGGAAGGCTCACAGCCTGAACGATGTAGTCCGTTGCTTTGAAGCCTTTGGACTTGGACTCCCCGACCTAAAGTCCCACACTCAACTCTAAACCCCAGCCCCGAAATCCTGACACTTCAGGGGTGCGGGGGAAGGGGATCTACATGGGAGTTGATTACAGGACTTGAGTATACCAATAAGATCTTGATGGCCCCTTCCCATAGGACCTATAGTCTTTACACATCCTCAACCTTGGGAAAGCAATAGGAAAGCCCAAATCTTGCAAACTTCAAAGATAATTAGCCTGGAAAGTGCCAACAGCCGCCCCAAACCTTCAACCCTAAACGCTGGGTCCCATGCTCCGCACCCTACTGAACATATACTACCTTAGAAAAGACCACCAATGGCAGCCCCATTCAGCCTTCATCCGTCAAATCCAGGCGCTCAAAATTCTGCCTTGGGTTTGTCGAGTTGTGGGCTTCAAAAAATTAATGATTCTTTTTTTGGAGGGCGGTCCCACAATGAGAATCATAGAATATGGGGGTCTATATTGGGGTCCCCTACTCATGGAATTTACTACTCAAGTTCGGGGTTGGGTTCACTATGTATGGACCCAGTTGAAGAGTCCCCATTGACGTAGTAGTAGTAGTAGTAGTAGCAGCAGCAGCAGCAGCAGTAGTAGTAGTAGTAGTAGTAGTAGGAGTAGTAGTAGTAGTAGTAGAAGAGGAGTAGTAGTCGTAGTAGTGGTAATAGCCATAATCGCATCCCCCTAATATTAAACGACGTTCCCCCCCTCTTCCCCGTAATATTCCGGGCCTCGAAAAGTATTTGATATTAGGGGGTGGGGGGGATATTCATTGAACCAAGTAGACAGGGCTGCGTTTAAATCCTTGTAAATTCTATCTTTTAGGTTCTATGGAAAATGAAATACTTGCATACTTTCTGTAATTACATTGGTTAGTTCATTTGAATAATTTACAGTTAATTAGATTCATTGAATTCATCAAAAAACTAATTGGTTGGGTATTTAATCAAATCAATAATTGTGCAAATACTTATTCAATTAACTAATAAATTCCGTGGAAACTAATTGATTGATTAATTAACTATACACCCCTAGAGACCTCAACACCCACCCTAATTCATTATGAGGTGGCCCCTTTTAAACGTAGCCTTCCCATTTTTACGGGTAATCTTCAGGATCTTTAGGCCCCTGAATTTATTATGTAGTATCCGCGGAGTCGTAGCAGTAGTAGCAGTAGCAGTAGCAGTAGCAGTAGCAGTAGCAGTAGCAGTAGCAGTAGCGGTAGCGGTAGCGGTAGCGGTAGCGGTAGCGGTAGCGGTAGCGGTAGTGGTGGTAGTACTAGTAGTAGTAGTAGTAGTAGTAGTAGTAGTAGTAATAGTAATAGTTGTAGTGAGTAGCAACAGCAATACCAGGAATAGTCATAGTAATAGTCATGTAATAGTCACAGTAATAATAATGGAAATTGGTATGATTAACTAGTATTGGCGAAGGAGTCGAAGGTAGTAAGTAAAGAGTATCGAGTGATAGTGATAATAATAGCAATAGTATGTACAATAGTAATACGGATGGTGATGGTAAAAACAATAATACTAACAGTAATAGTTATCAAAGTACTAATAGTATTCGCATTAGCAACAGTAGTAGAAACCTATGTAAATATTAAATGTACTAGTAATAGTAAAAAAACATTAGTGATAGCAATATTAGTGATGTTGTTGGTACCAGTAATAGGAAAAGCACTAGTACTACAGTTTCGTACATCGTAGCAGTAACGAAAATAGTATGCATACTCTACTCCTAGACCTGAAGCCGCATGTGATGGCGCCTGCCGCACTGAGTGTGAAATCTTGTATTCTGCTGCTTACGGGTCTCACCTAAAAGCTAAACTTGAAAATCGAAACCTTCGGCGTGTTTGTCGCTTTGCCGGATTTGCCGGACATCGGCTCGGCTCCAGGAGGAGAAGCAACTCACCAGGCTAGCGGCTGCTTGAACTCAATCTGTGGGCTTTTGGCATAGTCTTTGTGCTCCTGTCAGTCCCTCTTGCTAACCACAGAACCCCAACCAAAATGACTTTCTCTATCATATTCGGAAAGTGTCTATTGTCGCAGGGTTGCGCGCTAAGTTCAATGGTTCCACTTAATATCAACACTTTTCCGGGCCATCTCATGTCAAGCAGGACAAGAATGGCAAAGATCACGATGAACACCACCAACAGTCTTTTTGGCAGGTGTCTGACGGCTATGGGTTGCATCGCAGCAAAAAAACCCTAACAGATCATTTAGGTCTTTTGGCCTCTAGTAGAGGGAGCGACAATGCTGGCTAGAGAGCTTGGCGAGGAGCGCTTCAGAATACTGGGTTGCTGTTAAGGAACTTAAATTAAATTACTATATTGGGGAAACCCTATTATTCGCTATATATATATATACATACCCATTATGGTATATAACTTAATTTAAATTCCTTAACAGCAACCCAGAATAGGGACGCCATCGACTCGGTTGCGGCACCGCAGTCTGCGTGGTACATGGGTGTTTCTGGAACTGACGAATGCCAGAGCGCAACAATGGATGCGGTGCTATGTGCTGGGCACGGCTTACTCATGCTAAGTTGGGCGCCTATAGGAATGGATGTCATTCTTATTCCTCCCTACATTGAACCGATTCCTGCAGTAGTCCTGCAACTCATGCCTCCTCGCGTTTTCCAACTAAGCCCTATACCCGAACCTAAGACCAAATCCTTCAACATATAGGAGTCTCTGCTTTCTTTTCATTCCTTCCTTTGCACTCCCTCCCTACTAGCCATCATTCAATGAATATGTGGTAGTTTCCCAAAAAAAGGGGGGACCTCAATAGAGACCCCAAATACTTTAACCCGCATCGTGGGGATCGCCCAAACAAGGTAAGCCCTAAACCCTAAGGCCCCAACTTGGTGGAAGGCAGTCCTTCACCCATTCAAGCAGCGTTGGGTCTTCAAAGAACTTTCCAACCTTGCTGTCGCAGTCCTGGTCTGCTAGATTTCCATTGAGAGGGTTTTAGGGTTCGAAATGTTTCAAGGCTTTCACACGCCCGATTAAGGTTTAGGGTTTAGGAGGGGGGTTATTAATCTATAATGTACCATAATATGCCATAAAATATACCACTGTATTCTATAATATACAGGTCTACATTAGGATTTAGGATTTAGGGCTAGGGCCGGTTAGAGTTTAGTGCCCGAACCTACTACTCCTCAGGATCCTGCTATTGTCCATGTACGTCTACGTATGAGCCCCTGATGTAAACCTTACATGGCCCCACAGCGTCTCCTTACCCTAGACCTCCATGTCTAGAAACAATCCCTACATTGGGCCCCAAAGTCTATGGATATGACCTACATTGAGCTATTTGGAGCCTTAGGGTTATAGGTTATCAGCCATCAGACTACTACACAACCGTAACCCAGAAAGAAAAGCAACATTCAAAACTAGAGTTGTTTTTGCACCATCCCCCCTGCACCCTAAACCCAAGCCCTTTGAACCACAAGCATGAACTCCCAAACTCTTGAATCTTAAGCCCTGGGTACGCATACCAACCTAAACCCAAAACCCTAAATCCTTATCCCTAAACCCTTATCCCTAAACCCTTATCCCTAAACCCTTGTCCCTGAACCCAAAACCCAATTACCAAGTGTCTATGTAGAGGACCTTGCAGAAAACCAGCGAGGCCGTTAGGTGCCAGTAGCTGCCGGGATACAGCACGCCTCATCTGCTGGGCTTAGGGTTGAGGGTTTAGGGTTTAGGGTTTTTGGGTTTTGGGGGTTTCAATCTTGTAGG